TGGGAGCCATTGTAAAGGAAAATATTATCTCCATTGTCAGGTTGTGGCCATCTTTGTAACATCAGAAGATGAACTCAGGGAGAATATGCCACCGGAGGGCGAACTGGAATGACGATGGTACCAGCTTAGAAAGTGTGAAAGCTATTCAGTCTAGTGGCGAGGATTTTAGTGCAAATCCTTCATTAGGGTTATGTGTTAATGCCAAAGGAGTCATCTTTTTAAAACATGTTTTTGTGTCATTTATATTCCATTTAATAATGAATTTATGGATTTTCTTTTCAACCTAAAAAGAGTGTTTAGGTAAAACTTTGCATTTGGGATTTCTTTCATTCTTTTTTAATGTGCACCTGGGCACAAATGGCGTGATTCATAGCTTGTTTATTGCAACACAGTAATTTACATATCTGCAGAACCAAAACCAGCAGGAACTCAGAGACAGTGGGTGAAAATGTGCAGTCAGTGTGAACATAAAGCAAGCATAGTGGGGGGGAAAAACCTGTTGGTGTGAATCTCTTTGTGAGAGACAAAGAAAGGTGAGGACAAGATAATAAGCCCGAGGGGCACCGCCCAATCCTTGTAAACATGGCTTGGACTGTTTCACATGCCCTGAGAGCAAACGCAAATATCTGTTTCTTCTGGCTCCTGTTTGCAGGAACACTGGAACCAGGACGCCACCCAAGAAGCTCAGCAGCTTACCCAGTCAACAGACAGCCGTGCAAGGCTGATACTCCTGTCCTGTCACCCAGTTAGGGAGACAATGGCAAATCAGGCCAAGCAAGGGCCTGGAGGCTTGCGTGGATGTTGTTTTTATTTTTTGTCAATCCGTCTCACCTTCAGCTCTCTTCGTCCCTCCTTGTTTGTGCATGTTCTTCTGCTCTTTTATTATTCACTTGCGTCTGCCTTCCCTTTCAGCGCGTCCACCTCGTCTTGCCACAAAGAGCCTGAATCCTCTCCTGAGAGGAGTCTACCAGCCCTGCGCTGTAACCCAATCATCTGACAGAAGAGTGTGTCATCTCCACAGAGTAACAGGAAGTCTTGTGCACCAGACAGATCGCCTCGCTGCGTCTGCCCCTATCTCTCACACTCACGCACCAGAGAAAACAGATACACTGTTTTTCTCCCTCACTTTAGAGACTACCTTAAAAAAGGAAGTTGCTGAGATCACATCCGTATTCATAGAGATGAAGGCATATATAGGCATACCATCAAAGCTAATGAGAATACAGCAAGTTATCTTAAGAACTAATTACCGATAATACAAAATACTACTTTTTTTTTATTTTTTATTACAGAAATCACCTCAACTAATCAATTGTAGGTTTGTTTTTTAAATTAAGCTTGGACACAGGAGAGGAACTAATCTCCCCATGGAGAAGCAGGTACATTAGCATGATTTAAACAGTTGGGGATTAGCATATGCCTTTTCTCATTAGCAGTATTGGCGTACTTGATTCTGAACAACAAACATGCTGACTGTGGTTATGAAAAGGTCAAAGCATGTAGGCTGGATTCCCGCAGTCTGCAGGCCTAAAGTCAGTGTTTTTGGGGTAGTTACAACGGCAGCCTTCCTGAACCCCCCGATGTTGGCTTTGGACCTACACTTCCTTCCTGTTCATGGAAATTCTTCTACAAATAATAAAAAAAAAAAAATTCAGACGTACAAAAAAAGTAAAAAAGAAGAAGAAAAAAACTCGATCGTGCTGAGCCTTGATGGCTGATTAGGTAATTTTATATCAAAACAGTGTGTTCATTCTAATGATATATTTTAAAGAATTATAAATTAAATAAAAAAATATATATAAGACAAAGAAGAAGCACATATTTCAGTGTAGAATGGAAACGAGAACCAAGAGAGGAAATGAGCTGCTGGTGTATTCTCATTCAAATTATTGTTAAAAATAAATAAATAAATAACCAATAAAGGAAAAATCACTGAAAATCAATGTAATATCAATTTAACATCATTCTAAATACGCTGTACAATTTTAGGAGGGTAGTCAGACTTTCAGTCTGGCCTTACCCTGATGACTTACGTGAAGATGTGCTGACCTCTGCTGGTGATAAATATTCAAACATTTTGTTTACAATAAATGCATTTAAAAGTCTCTGATTGACAGTAGACTCATTTCATTTCTGATTCAGCTGACCTTACAGCTCAACATTTGGATTTTTAACCCTTTATCAGATGAGGAACCGTTTAGGGTTTCCTGCTTTGCAATAAGAAAAGAAAAGAAAAGACTGAAAAAAAAAACTATAAAAGCAAAGGACTACCGAGAACACTCTAGGATTGAAAGTATTGTCACTTTAACTGTTTCTAGGATGTTTTATTAAATTAGGGGTGATTGAAATTGAGGTCTTTTTTTGTTGTTTTTTGTTTTTTTAATTGACTTCTACACACTTGGATTTAGTACAAACAAGTACAAACTACCTCTTCTAACTTCTTCTTCTGACTCCATTAGAATAGATAGAACAGAAATGGTTCAGTATTAACTGTGGCTTTTTAAAGCCCAAGTGCCCGCATGAACACAACGCAGAGGCAGCTAAAGCCTGTCACTATTGTTATAACTGACAGCTCTAGTTTTACACCATACAAAAAATGTTCCCTGATGTCTCTGCTTTTGTTACCTGGACCCAGTGCAGATGGTGGGAGACAGAAGGACTCTGACCAAAATAACGTCTCTGATAGACAGTCTCCCACCCCATGCATGCAAATGCTGCTGAACTGCAGAGCTCCTTCAGTGACAAACTGCTGCATCCTCGATGCATGAAGGAGCGTTTCCACAGGTCCTTCCTTCCTGCAGCTGTCAGACTGTACAATCAAAACTGCTCCCAACAAACATACATGTTTACATCAGCACTGTAACTTGCACTATTTTATCAACCGATTCACACTACAACCTGGGTTTGCCTCTTATCTGTATTAAATTTTTATTAATTTTAATAACTGTACAGAACTCTGTTTTTGGTAACTAATTTCCTTGATGTAAATATGTAATATTGTGCATGTTTCTGTTCTGTGTCCTGTGTCCTGTTTGTTTGTATATGTGTTTTTCTTGCTGCTGTTACAACCAAATTTCCCCTTGTGGGAACTTAAAGAATTATTCTATTCTATTCTATTCTATTCTATTCTATTCTATTCTATTCTCCAATACTAGATGACATGGCTTTAATAAAGAGTTGCTTTTCTTAAAATACGTACAAATCCTGTATGCTGAGATGAAATCATTTCACTTCTTTTAACAATATTAAACCAGAAGAAGCAAACTGACATTGTCCATTTACTTAGAAATGACTGTCACTGTGTGCGTGTATGGTTGTAAATTTAAATCAACAATAGAAGAAGCATTTTTACCTGGAAACTGTGGACTTTCTTTTTCTAAAAGAGTCTTTCATACCCAATCTACAAAGTTATGGAAATTTAAATATACATTTAAATATTTTTTCCTCTCATAAATGCGATTAAATTAAACGTCTGCGTGTTTTGTTCACAGTCCTCACCACTAGATGCCACTCATGCAACATTTACAAAATGCATGAGCTCTAAAACACAGCTTAAGTCTCATTAGGCGTCTTCATTTGTTCTGGCCAGTGTTGACATAAACCGAGACAAATTGTTTGGTTTGTGAAAAAACACACAAAAAACCCCAAAAAACCTTCAGTCCTTCAGGAACTTCAGGAAAGGAATCAGCTCACTGCCCAAATATCATCATTCTGTTGACGTGCCACGCTTTGATTAATGGCACCTCATTTGCAGTGCAGTCAAGTTGCACATCAGACATTTGCAAGATGCTGTCCCTCAGTGCCACATTTTTAAGTAGATGGTACGACAACAGGCGGAGTGAGTGTGAGAAGACAGCTCATTAGCTGTCCTGGTCCAAGAGAGTGGCCAGTTTCTCCCAGGAGAGCAGTTCAGAGTTCTGGGAAACTCACCAACGCAGCAACAGCTGCAGCTCTACATGAACCTGATGAAAACTCATCCTCTCCCCTCTCTCTTTCTCTTTCATTTAAAAGTTTTGTCAGTCTGTCCCACCAGACTGCCCGGGCTTGGATCTCAGCCCATCTGTACTCACATCATTTTGGGGGGTTTAACTGGATAAAATGACTCCCAGATCAAGAGATCACCGTTATCCATTCTCTCTGCCAACTAAGCATGGAGTTGGATGAGTGTGTGTGCTCCCGCAAGAGGGATATGCAATGTATGGAGGGGTGCAGAAGGTTACTGAGGAATTCTACCAGTGACTATTGATTTTTTTGCTGAACTTTTCACCACTCTTATATGAATGTGAATATTATCACTGTGTGGTGTGGTGTTCAAGATTTCCAACCTCCTGCTGCCAAAAATGAGAAGTCATGTGTGGCGGCTCCAAGCAGCTGATATGAGGACTTAGAAGAATTTCTTTAACCTTGTGACCACCACAAATTTAGCATTTTGGTTTGGTTGAGCCACTTATTTGGACCTTTTGTGACAACGCTGGAGATTTTGTCACATTTAGAGTTCATTACAGAGCCTGTATGTGTGTGACGGGTCCAATATTTGCCCTGGCTTTATAGTTTCAGTGCATCTATCAAGAGTGTGTACACACTGATAATTAAAAGGTTTTCATGTCTTTCTAAAACATGTTTTGTTTACGCAAGTAGCACAGATATTCACATTTCTAATTTACTTTTTATCGTGTGAGCGCTTTCTGATGTTCATCTCCTGCAGATGTGCCGAATTATCCAGCAGTTCTCAATGCATGGATACATGCATATGGCTAAATGGTGAACTTCTATGGAAACAATAAATGCAGACAGATTCTCACATTGTCTCAAATGCAAAGACTTTAAAACACAAATACAATAAATAGATCTACAATACAGGTGAATTATTGTGGTTACTGTCATAGTGTCAAGCCAAACTAGCAAAAAGCAGAAAGTATTTTAAGTTGTGAGGTCTTTTGTTTTGTTTTTTTAAAATTCGCTCATAGAGCAGAATGAAAGAATCAAACTGCAACTGGACATCATGCACAGGCCAAGCTGCCGAAACTGTTTAATGTATCAAAAGTGTGTTCAGCCATATAACAGTTTATGCTGTGCACAGACTGATGGGGTGAAAGATATTAAAGACGTTTGCTAAATCCAAATTTTACACACAAAAAAAATCAAGCATAAATGAAGATTAGATGTTACACTCAGTGTAAATGTGACATAATACTGATTTCAGCAAACATGCACACAGTAAAACATAATAGTTTTAAATTCACAGTCATTGTTTAGGGCATGTGGTTAAAACGGGGTCAAACTGATGCCCCTCCTTTTTGTTTTTATTGTTGTTGTTGTTTTCAGGTTTTAGCAGAAGAGCTTGAGCTTGGTGGGTGAAGACGTGTCGCCTAAGCTGTTGCTCCACAAAGTCTCATAGATGATGAGATGTCTTCCTCTGACCTTCCTGTCATCATAAATGGCCAGGTCTGTTGGAGAAGAATACAAATTCATTTGCTCAGAATGACAATGGTTAATTCAGAATTGCTTTCATTTTGGAAAAATCATGCATTCTGTTATGTCAGCAAAGATGACAATAGGGTTCATACTGAAAGCCAGAAGCAGAGGACAGTTAGTTTTATAGTTGCTGAAGCAATGTGTAAAAGTATAAAAGCAAAAGTTGATTTCTGTCATGGCTGTAAAAGTTTGGCATTCATACCAGACTGACAGGGTGTGCAAATCTGCTCTCGAATCGGTCATCCTGCAGAAGCTGCCTAAGGTGGGAAATGTAGCTAGAAGCGAGACGAAGGGTGTCCAGTTTGGAAAGTTTGGTATCCGCTGGCACCCAGGGCAGGCTGGTTTTCAGTCTGGAGAAAGCTTTGCTCAGCACTCTCATCCTCGCCCTCTCCCTGGCGTTAGCCGCGTTCCTCTGCGACTGTCGCGTTTCCCTCTGGTGCGCTTTGGAAAGTCTGTGCTCCTGCTTGATCCTCCCCTCAACACCTTCGTCTTCCAACTCCTCCTCCGAGTACCGGCTGGGATTATAGCAGGTGACTTTCCGCGCGGTGGCCTCCAAGGCAGCGGTAGTCCTTTTGTGGCGTGTCTCGTCGTCCTCGGCATCACTTGCAGCAGAGCCAGTGGACATGGCTGCTCCACCTGCCCCTGGGGAAACAGACCGGAGTGGCACTGTGGACGACAGACAACAGTGAAGTAAATGACGAGAAGCTGCAAGTCAGCACCTCCTTGCAGTTTCCATTTGGTAACCCTGGAACTTATTTCCCACAGAAGCGCTAAAACGTCAACCCTTGATTCACTACAGTACCATCTGCACCAACTAAAGACAGCTCTGTCTAAAGAGACATGGCCTAGCTATCCCTCTAATTTAAGTGTCATGGACTTGGCATCTGCACAGTTTTTTTGCTGAGCATTTCTCCTCCCCCTTTTTTGTCCGAGCGACCATGACCTCAGTGGGACCACAACTCCATCTCGTTGTGTAAACTGTTAAAGACACATGTTGCTCATTTGAATCTTAATTTTTTTTTAAAAAGTTAAGTCCTGTCAACTATTTGCCCTCAGAGATAGTTAAAGCAAAAGATGCAATGAAGTTCATCCAAAGCTGTTTGTGCAATAATTTTACCCTTTTTTCTTTTTTTTTTTGCAAATTCCTTAAACATTCTAAATTTATTGGAGAGCATGAATTCCCTGATTTAGGTTCAGTCCATTGCAACAATTACAACTACATTATATTCAGTAAAAAGTCCTCCGGTTTGTGGTCTCACAGATGTGTTTTGGTCTCGAGGACCTTATCAAAAGTGTTTAATCCTTCGCTGCGTTCACAGAGGGATTGGGTTTCTGCAGATGGAGCAGCGCTTCACACGCAGCCTGTGTGTACCAGCCCAGCTGTTATTGGTTCCCATGACATCTGGAGCGTTGGCATGACATGGGTGTGGCAGAGGCAAGGAGGCACCATCTTCATTCTTGTAGTATCACAAATATTTTTACTGGGTGTCTCGGCCATATTTGCATTTCTTTTGTGCGTTGGTTTGGTGGTTTAATCAGTGATATGAGGACTGAGCTGTAGATCAGAGGGGAAGAGGGACAGAAGTGTCTCTGCTGAGATCCCATGGGAAGCTGACTTTTGTGCAACACTAAAAAGACCACTTGTGTTCCAGTGTGATGCAAACACTTTTCAAAAATGCAAATAAATATTTGGAAGAAACTTGAATGGCCACACTTTCTCTTCAAGTTTTGATTCATACTTTCTCTGCTCGCGCCGTCTCTTTGTCTGTCAAGAAAGATATTCCCAGAAAATCCCAGGTCCCTGTTTGCTATTACGCCACGTAATATGTGTGAAATTTTATATTTTTTATGACAATAGCCAGGCATTGCCAAGGATTACTTAACAGCAGCTGAGATGTATGCTTGATTTTGGCCAAGCATACATCTCAGCCCCTGCAGCCACGCAGGGGCCATGAGAGAAAATAAGGAAATTACTGTATGGCACTGGGCCCAATGCCGCCTTGTACCCCAACAGTTAAGCTTTATTCCAGCATGTTGGCTTCAAGTCACACCTTTCTGAACAACTAAAAACCTCAGTTGTAATATGATTGATTGTTACCAGTTCCAACAATTTTCCTCTGTCATAGAAGAAGAATAATGCAAGAATGTTTCCTTAATCCAAGGACACATTCCTCTGCTTCCTGTAATCCTGCTTTTCCAAGCAATTTTCACAAAAGCAGAGCTCAGCTGCTGCTTTGAGGGATCCCTCTGCTCAGCACACCCTTGGATATGTCACGACTCTGAAATATTAGGTTCTACTTGTGCTGGTATGACAGTCAGAGCTTCAGGCATGCTGCCAACTCGTCCTCCATCACTGCATCCGTCAGCAAGGTGAGTGACACTCTTGAAGGTGCGAGTTATAGGATCCTGCTGACTGATTTAATTTTCTTTTTACAGTGTTTCTCTTTTTTTTTTTTTAAAAAAAACAAAAAAAAAAACTAACAGTGAAAGATATTGGCTGTATGACGCATATTTCACATTGCTGCTTCATTCACTGTCACCGAGAAACAGGTTGAGATAAAACTTTGCTCGTTTGTCATTTTGTGCATGTTGTGCTTCAATAAAAAGAAAGAAAGCGAGAAGAAGAAGAACATATTGTCCAAAAAATAAGTGGCTACATGGTTATTGTATTTGCCTTGGGAATAATCAGATTCAGGGCCAGCGATAATAAATAACACTGAAAACTTGACTTGAAGGGAGAGCAAGCATCTGTCCGTCAGCAAAGACTTTCAGGGGTCTTAACCTCTATCACAGCCCTAAGCTGGGAAAACCAGAGAGACAGGTGCGGGCTCATGATGTCACAGGCCTGACTCAGTTTCCCTCCCAGCCACTTATGATTCCCATGATTGCCTTTGAAGAAGCCTGCAGCACATTAAGCTGCTGAGTGAAAAGCGCACAAATCAGAGACTATAACCATCAACTTCTATAACCTTTTTAATTTATGTATTTATTATTGTTTTATGCTATTTGGCAAGTTGTGCCCAACAGTGTGCTGGAATTTTATGACAAAATATACGATGTAGGCTTCTGTTGATGTCATGATGTTTATTTGTGTACCATTTTACAAGAGCAGATGTGACAAAGTGCATCATAATAATGACAGAAACAAGCCAAAGAAGATGGCGCAACAGCACACATTTCAGATGGACGATACATAGATGCAAGCACACTGTTATTGTAGCTACAAATTCTATGTTTATTATGTCAATCTAATGAAAAATTAGACTTAAATTAGGTTTGATGAACCTTCTTATCTATAGAGTAAAAGAACAGGAGTTGGACTTCAAGCCACTTTACAAAAAGTGTGTAATAGAAATATGCCAGTACTGCTTGCACACTATAAAAATCATTTATCAGTAGCTCACTGGTATAACTTAAAAGTAGCCTACAGGATAAGAAATGTTATTTTTTTACCCAACAATGAAGGATTTTGCAATAATACCATTAATATTATCGTTTTAAGTATTTAACGTCTCAAGAACCACATACAAGTTAGGACAAGTCTGTTAATAACAATATAATTAACTGTTACTACTGTTACAACATGGAAATAGTGAACGCTGCTGTTAAATTGGAATATAAGTGATTACATTTATACCTATTTAATATCTTTTTATGCCATATAGATCTAGTCTTTTGAGACAATTCACTTTGCAGTGAGTTTAGTTGTCACTTTGTGTTGTTTCATCGTCTTCATTTTCGCCTGGCCTCGATGGCCTTCATCAGTGGGACCCACCGAGATGTAGTCTCTCTGCTTGGTTTAGCCTGACCTAAAGCGGGCCACGTGCTCCCTCTGACGTTCACGGGGCCGTCATATTCGTCAGCCTCAGAGGCGATCTCCATTTTCTGGATGATGAGCTTTACGAGGCAGTGCTGCTTCTCTAGCAGGCATGACATCTCTTTCATTCTGCAGGGAAAAAGAAAAACAAAGACAAAACAATCAATTCATGTCACTTAGTGACAGACTTCATTCACTCTTGCCTAGATTTATAATGAGACTGCTGGAAGGTCAGACTCCTGGGTGACTTGATGCGCTTACTATAGAAACAGAGATACAGAGTGGGATCTGTAGGGGTCGCTCATGCATCAAAAACTACTTTTTCTTAATTCCCACTTTAGCTTTCAGCATGCACAGTCTAGATCATTGTACCTGTAATACTCATCCATTACCTCAATAATAAGCTTGCACACTTTTATGATTTTAGAAACATGAAAACTGACTTTCATGTGCATGCATTACCTGGTCTTCTGCTTTTTGAGCTCATTCTCGATCAAAGTGCATGCCTTTGATTTGGCTTGCAGATGATTCCAGACTTCATTGGTTTCCTCTTCACCATAGAAAAATTTCTTCAGAAAGTGCTGCAATCAAAAATGTGAAGGTTTAATAAAGGAGAAAACTTTCGCTGCTATAAGTTATAGACATAAATCATCATGTTGCACATCATCTGTGTCTTCTTTTTTTTTTAGCTTACCCTGGAACACCTGTGATTGGGATAGATGGTAATGGAGTTTTTGTCAACTCGTTTCATAAACCAATAAGGGAGCTTATCTTCCAGAGCGGTGTGCAGATCAATCTGGGGTCAGAAGGGCTGGTATTTAGTCAAGGGTTCGATTTTGGGCGAGGAATATATCATTGATATCATATATATCATCTTGTTATGTGTCAGTGTTCCATGCATGTTGTTAAAATGGCTCAAGAGCAAAACACCACAACATCAAAAAAAGAACAAGGCAAATTGAAAAAAAAATCCAAAGTAATTTTTATGCTAAAAAAAATTAACCTGGTTTAATACAAACCTGCATGGCTATCCGTTTCAGCGCAGCATTTCTTTGAACTTCAGCAATGTCTCCAACTGCTAAACCAATCTACAACACAATCAAAGAATCTTTGGTTAGGACCTTTAAAAATACAAAGCTTATGACAAGAGCATGATTAGATAAAATTGCTGTCAAAGCACTAGAACAGAAATTATTATAGTAACATACAAGCCAAATGTATAGCCACATAAACTACTTTAAGATGCAGCTGGGGATCAGGGTGTGCTTACCATCAGGTTCACGAGCAGGATTGGCATGAACAGAACAAAGACCACAAAAATGAAGTATGTCAGGATACCAAAAGGTAGTCGATGATTCAGATACTCATCCAGGAAGTTGTTCTGGTAGTTCAGTTCCCCGACCATCATCACAAAGGTTTGTACCACAGAGAGCGGCACGCTGTTAAACTCCCTCTAATGATACAAAAAGAACAGCAACGTGTGATTGCATGTTAGCAATAAACACTTTATTATAACAGACATCCAGATGGCCTAGGTTTTAATCATTTCTGTACCCAGCCTGGACACTAAAGAATTGTTCTATCCCCACAAGTGTTTTGTGCAGGCCTAAACTTTGAACAACAGTGAAGTTTTAAAGTTAGGTGACTTTAGCAGCCATGTCAATAAAATATGCAGTGGTGCATGAACACAGCGTTCTGGTGGCTTTCTAAGGTGTGTGTGATGGTACAAGAAAGGGTGAGGGGACTGTTCTTACAAAAATTGTGACCTGATGTTATTAAAAAGGTCTGCGTGTTACTGAAGGAATCCTCTGGAGATCATTGATATACATGCAAAATTTTGAAAATCTGATGATACCCTTTCATCCTGCAGGAATTGTATGGTTATATGCATCACTGCGTTCTTTTAATACCTGATTGAGCATCAGGGCATGGAAGGCCAAACTGAAAGCCAACATCAGGTAGAAGAACAGCAATACAATACGGACCAGTGTCT